GAGAGAGAGAGAGAGAGAGAGAGAGAGAGAGAGAGAGAGAGAGATTTGGGCTTACTTTCCATGAGAAGGTGACATGCTAGTGAAAAAGACTCTAGTTTTCTTGGGATCCATGTTTTTCTTAACCCATCTCAACATGCTTTTCATTGCCATACCATAAGCTTCCTCTGTTGAGACCATCACAATGTCTTTCTCTTCATCGTCAAAAGATCCTTGCCTGTTAATTAACATAAGAACTTCACATTACAAGAAAAAAAAAAAAAATGTTCTTGAAAAATAAAGAATTCAAGGTAATCCTTTTGAAATTAGAAAAATACCCATGATACAAAGTATATTTCTGATGGAAATTAAAAGAGATTGGAGCTGAATTTATACAGTATTTTGAATTCCTGGCCTGTCATCCACCATAGGTAAGTATTGAAGACCATAATATCCACCCCTTTCCAGTGTTTTCCATGCTTGTTTATCGAGCCTTTTCGCACGATTCTATCGCTTATTCTGTGTACAATGGCGTCGTCTGAATTGGATTCGAGGAGAAATGGGGCCCAGTAGAACTCAATTGTTGCATTGTAATCCTAAAACACGCCAAAAAAAAAAAAAAAAACCCAGATATATTTGCGAGCAGTTGTGTATTTAGTTAAAAGACATGTAAGAAAACAGAGTACTCTGTTTCTTGGCTCATTATAATTTGTATTAAAGTTTAGGACGTAAAAACAGAGGACCCTGTAAAAACAGAGGACCCTGTTTTGGAGAATCCTAATTACTGTGGACTCGTGTTAGTTTTCTAAATTGCTAAATTACACCTTATATCTACCAACTAACCCCTCTTGAGGCCCTTGTAGTTCTGATTAACCGCAAATTGGCCTATTTAGGGAGAAGTATCAATAGTTGTCGGATTCACCGGAAGCCCCCGAGATTTGTTATTAATACGAAAATGGCCCCTCTTTCGAGCAAATGAAGAATTTGGTACAAATGTAGGGGAGAGTTTGTAGTTTTGAGAATCAATTGGGTTTTTTTTCACAATTAAAAGATGCTTTTTTTTTTTGTTGTTGAAAGATAAAAAAGATTGTATTATATGTTTGAAAAAATTAATAATTAAAAAAAAAAAAGAAGTCACCTTGGCTGTGAAGACAGTTAAAGAACCAAAAGTTTGCATGGATTTGGCATTTTGAGGGATGAGTCTGTGAAGAAGACAAACCATGGAAACATACTGCCCACGGTTTAATGAGTCACCTACGAACATCATCCTCTTATCTCTAAGTGTTTCCAGCATTAATGTTGCATTGAAACTGTCAAATTTAAATTTTCACGCAAAATAAAATTAATAATAATAATAATTCTGAGGATCTTTTTAGCAAATCAGATTAAACTTGGAGTGCACTTTGCAATTATCCCATGTTTTTAGGACATGTTAAGAAACTAGAAGTGACAAAAATACAGTGTTCTAAAGTCGCTAGGCGCCCGCTAGGCGCTCGACCAGCGCCTAGCGCCTAGAGCGCCTAGACGGGGCCTAGGCGGGGCCTAGTCGGAGCCTAGAAATCAATATTAAATACCTTATTTTTTATTTATTT